TTCGGGAAAAACTGGAGATACTCTTGGAAAGAAGTTGCCTACGTCATTGGAGATTGGGAAAAGCTTCTTCTAGAAGGCAGGACTTCAGCTGAGTCTTGAAGGAAGCTGGGGAAGCTGGGAATGGGAAATGAGGAGGGAGAGACTTCTAGGCATCAGGGACAGTCCTTGAAAATCCCAGTGTCTGGAGATGGATTGTTCCGTTTGAGGAACAATTAGGAGAACAGTGTTACTAGACTGAAGAATATGTTGAAGGAAGTAAGGCCTCTCCTGATTCCTTCAGTTCCATTTACTATCCCCCCAAATTACTCTGTGTGTGTGTGTGTGTGTGTGTAAGACCAGGAGGGTTAAGTAACTTGCCCATGGTCACACAACTAGAAGGGACAGAATAAGGATATGATTCTATATTTCCTTCCTTTCTTTCCTTCCTTCCCTCCTCCTTTCCTCTTTCCTTCCTTCCTCCCTCTGTCCCTTTTTTTCTTTCTCTTTTCTTTCTCTCTCTCTTTCCACTGTACTATTTTTTGTTCTTTGTCTTTGAATCCCCAGCACCTAACACTGCCTGACACATGGCATTTCATAAATTTATATTGAACTGAATTGAACTGAACTGAATTGAATTTTAGGATTCTGGGACAAGGCTGAAGGAAATCAGATATGGGTAGGCATTGCCTGCAAAAACTAGAAGATAGCATAGACTAATAGAAAGGGCAATCGTCTTAGAACCAGAAGATCTGGGTTCAATCATCAGTTCAGGCATTTATGAAATGTGTGATAGAGGGTAGGTCATTTAATTTTCCTGAGCCTCAGTTTCCTAATGTGTAAAATTATCTACTCTCTACCTTATGGGTTGTGAAGAAAGTGCTTTGTAAACTTGGCAGCATAATAGAAATATGAGCTATTACCCTAAGATTCTGAACTTAGCATTCAGTGGCTCCCCAGCCCAAAGGCTGGTATCATGTTATCCTAGCTTCCAACCTTAGTCCTCATTTCCAGCAGTCTCACTGCCCCCGAGATGGGATGCTAAGACTGGGAAAGACTTCAGAGCAATTGTAGTTAATGGTAAATGGAATGGTACCCTATCCCCTGAGATCTTAGAGAACAAGCTGAAGGACACCAGTGGGGTATGTGTGTGGGTCCAGGGGATCCTCGTCCAGACGTGGGTGGGACTGCATCAAGGTTCCACCTCACTCTGAGAGACTGTGAACCTGGGTCTTTAGAGATCATCAAAGATTTTTGCCTCATTTCAGAGTTGAGGAAACTGAGGCCAAACTTTCAAGCACCTAGGTGACTCAGTGGATAGGACCTTGGGCCTGGAGTCAAGAGGACTTCAGTTCAAACCTGGCCTGAGATACTCACTAGCCGTGTGATTCTGGGCAAGTCACTTAGTCTCAGTTTCCTCAACAGTGAAATGGGCAAAATAATAGCAACCTCCCAGGGTTGTTGTGAACATCCAATGAGATCACAATTGTAAAGCACAGTGCCTAGGACACAGCACGTGATATACAAATGTTAGCTATTATTATTATTGGCCCAGAGTCATAAGATGATAAGATCAGAGATTTAGATCTGCAAGGGTACACAGAGGCCCTCATTTGACAGATAAGGAAACTGAAACCTAGGGAAGTTAAATAACTTGTCCAGAGTCACACAGGTAATTTTCATTAGAGGCAAGATTTGAACCCAGCAAGGTCCTCTGAACCAAGAGCCACAGGGCTTTCTCCTGTACCATCAAACCGGTCATGTCTCACGGTCCCTTCCCAAGAACAGGCCTGGGAGTGGAGATGACTCATGGGTCCAATGGGGAGAGAATGCAAAGGGTTCCGAATTGTTCCCTTCCCCATAAGCAAAGGCTTCTAAGGCCTCCTTCCCCACTCCCTCCCTTTGATTTCCTTCCCAGCAGGTTTTTGAATGTCACATGGTGGGCTTCAAGGGGCAGAGGATTCCAGGTGCTATTTCTAGGGGTGCAAACCCCGGGCTGAAAGGTCCGCTGCCTGCAGTGGTATTCTGCCCGGGCTGTGCCAAGCCTCCCTGGGGATCGGGTTTCTGCTGAAGTGGTGCCAGGCACGTCTGCTTCCAGGAACCGGCAGCCGTATTTAGCCCCAGGCTGCACATGAAAGACTGCAGTCGGAAACGTGACATTGTGTCAACATTCGAGGCAGGTCAGAGCTGGGTGAGACCATCAAAACAAGCCGGGGGAAACTCAACACACCCTGTCTGAACAGAATGAGCTCAGAAGCTGAAGAGCAAGGCGTCCCTGTGCTTCCAGCTGCAGCCTCCTCACCTCCAGCTCCCGGCCCCCAACGCCTCCAGCTCCCAGCTGCAACCTCCTCACCTCCAACTCAATCTCCCAACTCTCAGCTCCAGCTCTCAGCCCCCAGCACCTCCAGCTCTCGGCCCCCAAGGTCTCCAGCTGCCAGCTCCAAAACGCTGAGCTCCCACTCCATTTCCAACTCCCAGCTCCAACTCTCGGCTCCTAACACCTTCAGCTCCTGGCTCCCAACACCTCCAGCTCTCAGCTCCCAGCTCCAGCTCCCAGATCTAAAATTGAGCTCTCCTTCTATCTCCCAGCTCTCAGTTCTTGCCTGCTTAGCTGCAGTGGGCCCCTAGTCGCCCAGGAAGCTCATAGCATCATGGATCTGGAGCTGGAAAGGACTTCAGAAGTCATTCAGTCAGTCTCCTAATGTTATAATTGAGGATACTGAGGTCCACTTGCTTTCAGCACAAAGGTGATAACTTTCCACAGAGAACATGGGACCCCTCTTGCTAAAGCAACCCAAGGGCTTGGGCAGGACTGGAGGACCCAGTACCTGCGAGATAGGCCTCCACCCTTACACTCCCTCACCAACATTTTTTCCTAGATAAAAATCATTATTAATGAAAATCAAGGGCAATCTTGGAGGGGAAGAGTCACAAACCAGCCGTGGGAAGCCAGAGGGAGGGATGTGTGTGTGGAAAGTATGTGGTGATGGGGGAGGGAAGACTCTATGGGCTGATTTTTTGTACGTATGGGAACCTCCAGTCCTTTTTTAGTACTAGCTGGTGGAACCACCTTCACCCCATCCATTCCTCCCCTCCCCCCCCAACCAGCTGCCTCCCTGAGTCACTGGCCAACCACCTGCCTCCCTGAGTCATTGCCCAGAATCAGGGAGTGGGAGGTAGGGTGGGGCTTGGGAGGCTATGGTACCACCACAGTGCTGTTCACAGGTCAGTCACCCCACTCTGGCTGGTAAGGGGTTCAAAGGCAATGTGTCTGCTCCTATTTCTTCACTTCCCAACTTCAGGCCCTACCACCTTAACTCTGGGCTGTTAATGCTATCACGATCACTTTCCTGAGGGAGACCTGATGACTCACTCACCAAAGCTAAGGTTGGAATGGGTGCACAGTGGGAAGAACACTGGATCTGGGGTCGGAAGACTTGGGCTCAAAACCCACCCCTGCACTTTACAAGCTCTGCAGCCTTGAGCAAATTACTTGACTTCTCTGGGCCTGTTTCCTCCTCTATAAAATGAGGGGGTTGTGGACTAAATGGTTCTAGATTTGTGATCCCTCTTTACCTCCACTGCTGCATGTAATCTTAAAGAGCTATCCTGCACACTTGCTAGCCTGGTAAATAATGATGTAAACAATTCCTGCCTTAGGTGTTTAGCATGCTGAGGCAAGCTATTAAACCAATTCTGTTTACCCTGGGGAAACTGTCATCTGCAAGGCAGAATGCAGTGTCCCTTAAGGCTCTCCTAGAATCAAAATCTCTGCACAGCTGGAGACTTTCTGAAATCATCTCTAACCCAACCCCCTAATTTTGCAGGTGAGGCAAAAACCAGAGCCAGGGAACATGAGTGACCTGGCCAGGGTCACAAGGTAGCTGGATCAGGATGGGTCTACTGACTCCCACTTCCTCCAAGCTCTTTCCCCAGACTTGTAACCAAACCTCTCAGATTCCTCCATGAATATTTTAAGTAGGAGAATAATGACATTCAGAATGTTTCCTTCCAGGTTTTATCGAGGGGAAGCTTCCCTACTCTTGCTGCTTTATCTGGAGGCTGTGGAGGTGACATTTGAAGACAACAGCCATTTAGAGCCTGTGTCTGGCAGGTGGCTTTTTTTTTTTTGCCTGGATTTCGATTCCCTGAGGTCATTTGCACTGCATGGGAGGTGAAGCTTCTGTCTGGCAGACTCCGTTACAGGCTGGAGTGTGTGGAGTGGCCCAGCGATGGGAGTTCAATCTTAGCAAACATTTAGAACCTATTCTACTGGATCAACCTCAGCCAGAGATACTGAAGGTTAAAAGAAAGATAGACAGCCTCTGGTTGAAAACCCATAAAGCCAACAGCTCCAACTTCATGCTGTGCCCAGGAGTTACCCTGCCTACTCTTCAACATACTCGTCTTGGGTCATTTTTCTTTAAAGCGTCTATGACTAAGGAACACTGATACTCATTCACACACCAACACACCCAATCTCAGGAAGTTCAGGAAGGATGTAACATAATCAGGAAAGGTTTCCTCCAGCAGCTTTTTTGTTGGATATGGTCAATCCATTAGCCCCTGCTCTATTAGAAAGTTAGCATGGGCCTCATCTCCAACATCAATTAAAACATTTCAGAATCATTGTTGATGAAGCCCCTACTATCAAGGGTCTCACCCTGTTCAACACTTCTCTGACATTCTGCTAAGTGACTCCACACTCTCATTTCCTATGGGGCTTTAACTCATGCTGAAAAAGAAAATAAAATAAAACTTTTCTTGGCACCAAGAGAGAGACTATGAAACACCAGCTATAGTCAGTTTAAATTAAAAAAAAAAAGGAAACCAAATATTTACCTATCAAGTTGACTAAGCTCTTTCTGACTTAACACTATGCATGTGAAAAGTGAATTTTACTCTGAGACAGTTAACCATTTGTGACCTAAAAAGAAAGGAAAATGTCAGTTACATATGACGTCTGGCACACAACAGCTCTCACCAGAATCAGCTCAATATTTTAAAAACACAGGAGACCAACCTTATATTCCACAGGAAAAGGATTATTTTTATTAAGTATTTTAAAACGACTACTTAACATTTACTCATAGATAAAAATATTTACAATTTTACACCTTCAAGGAGGTTCCAAAATATAAACACTGTACCTCTCTCTAGAGAAAATTATTCTTCTCTCTGAAAACAGAAATACATTCATGTTTCTCACTTGTTTTGATCAAGTAATTATACAAATAAACATCTGAAACATTTGACTTTTTAATATATTTATATATAATATATAACAATTTTACAAATAAAGGCAATAACTTTATATTCCAAAAGAAGTTAAAACACAGTCAGGCATAGTGCATTCAATAGCTGATGCAGTCGTAGACAGACAATTCAGAAAACAATTACTCTGGACACAATTTTTTTGAAAACTAAGGAGATATGCTTTTTTTCTTCTTTTTTTTGCAGTTAAGACAGTTGCTGTAAGCCATCACACAGGGGCACTATCACTGCAGAAACAATCTGGTCTAGGGTGGTCAGGTAGTTGAGGGGCTAAGACCAATTAGCAGGAGTTTCAACAAAAAAAAAACTATGTTCAAATTTGCTCTTTTAAGGTAGCAATTCATGCCCTGGCACGGTGGGTTCTAACTCACTCTTGTAATTTAAGGAGCTCTTTTAATTTGGGGCTCTCTGCTCTCCTGTACCTCGGACACTCATGCAGCAGTTGCAAGAGGGGAGGAGAATCGGGTGCCAAATCCATCTCCTGGGATACTCCTCACTCATTCTTTGGCGGTTCAGGCTGTCCAACTGGGCAAATTTTAGCTCCTTAATCAGATAATTACCATATAAAGCTTAAGCAGCAACTATGCTCTCTCTGCTCATCCAAGGCCAAGGTGTGGAGAGAAAGCCATCTAAAGTCTCCCAGAAACACTCCAGGACAATGCCAGTGGGGGTACTTTACAGCTTCTGGATGGAGATCAACAACACCAGTGCTCAGACTGACTGCCCTTTGTGTGTGAGTCACACGGAAAATACTGGGGATGGGTGGGGTGGAATCCGTCCGTCTCAAGCTGTGGGCCTGGTGGGGAGCTGTGCTTTCTCAAGTCCTCACATGAAAGTACCATATTCCAGTTCACCAAAGAACAAAACCAAAATATCCTCCCCCTGTAGCCCTCTCCCCAAATTTAAATCTGGATAACTGAATAAATAGAAGTCACAGTTTTGAATAATTCAGTCGACTTTGTTTTCAATAGCTATTTTCTAGATGGGTAAAATCTGGGAGGTTTTATTCAAACAAAATGATGCCAAATAACCCAAACCCTACATATGTTAAACCTAGGTCCATCCTTCATGTTTTCCCTAAGCTTTCTGACTGCTGGAGCCAAACGTGGCTTCCATGTCCTATACTTACGCACACTCACTCATACACATACACACGCGCGTGCGCATGTGCACGCTCATGCACACACACGCACACACACACACACACACACACACACACACCCAAGCCTAATCTCCACACCTCCGTTTTTATCTGGATATACAAACTCAGTCTCATTAGACTTTTTTTTAAGGGGCAAAATAAAAGAGGGCAGAGTTACAACTAGGTTTAGTCTTTGGTTTCCAAGTTTAAAGGCGAATCTGCTTCAGAGCCTGGAGCAGAGCTGAGGAGTCGATGGAGGAATGGGATGGCAATGGAGACGGGAGTCTTTGGGGCATCAGCAAAGGAGGAGGGATCTTCTCTGGGTTCATGAAGCCAGTGAGAGCTGTAGCTGAAGCAGGGAGCCCAGGGTATAAGACTGGGACAGAGGTGGGATACCAGCACTTCTCCAACATGGGCAGATAGGCTGTTGCTGATGGTGGGATCAAATAAAAAGGCAGGCAGAAGGGAGGCTGGTGAGGGTGAGGGCCCAGAAAGGAAGACCCCATCAGATCGCTGCTATAATGGCTTTCCCTGTCAGAAATATCAAGTCTGGTCTTTTTTGCAGGTGGATCTTCTGACTCTTGCTTGATGGTGCTTACTCTTTCTCCCAGGGGATATTTGCGTTCATTATCATTTTTAAAATACTGCTGGTCGGCTTTAGAGTCACTTTTCTCCAACTCCCCTCCATAACCACTGTCAGTGTCTGTATCACTTCCACTCTGCTCACCACTAGAATGGGCAAAAGTCCTTTGGATGACTGGGACACAATTTTTCCCGTGCCCTTCAATGCCTTTGGTCAGGGAGCTGGGCTTCTCTTTGAAGTCCATCATTTTGGGGGTGGGATCACTGGGCTTGTGGACAGTTCCACCCTGCAGGACCTCAGAGACCATTCGGTTGAGGTGACTGACTAGTTGCGAAGACTTCAGATCCCGACTACTTTCATGCTTTGCCAGGTACTGCAGTACCTCCCTGGCACACATTTGGAAACCAGAGCAGAACATCTCCTGGCCAGCATCAAGGTTTCTTGAGGATAGCTCACCTGGGGGAAACACAAAACAGAAGAAATTTTAGAAGGGTGCCTAACCTAGATCCATCCACCAAAAAGGAAGCAACTCAACTAATTAATAGAAGGGAACTCCCTAATATAAGGGGATAAGCCATGTAGTACAGTGGAAAGAATGCTGGGTCTTGAGTCAGACGACCTCAGTTTGAATCCTAGCTTGTACCTTTGTGACCTTGGACAAGTCATTGGGAAATTTCCTTATCTGCAAAGTGTGGGAGTTGGATTAAATGACTGCCCAGGCTTCTCCAGTTCTAACTATAAGCTCCTAGGAATATTAGTTTCCCCGTGGACAGTGATTGTTCAGCTTTTCATGAAATAACAGGTTGGACATAACCCCAAGAAAACTTATTTGCCAATGGTTTGTCCCATAGCAAACAAAAATACTTCTCTTTATTTGTAAATGTTGCATCTTGGAGCAACTGTCCTAAATCTTTACACTGTTCACACATATCCCCTTCCCAGTAAATAATAAAATATTCATATCCATAATTCAAACATGAAAAAACTGAAGGTAAAATTGTTGTGATCTGTTCTAAATCCCATGGTTGACACTTTCAGGGTCATCATTAGATGAGCTCTAAAAATGACTATGGGAGAATGAGATTATAATAGAGGAAGGGAAAGATGTAAAAACTGGCTTATAAACCTAAATATTATTACTTGGAAGGCACGAGGCTGGAAGAGCCTTTCCAACTGCTCTCTGGAAATCAATGAAAACGGATGACTATACTTGGGTGTTCTGATCAGATTTCCCAACTCCATCAACATGCCTAGCGGTTATTCAAGGAACAGCACAAATGAATAGAAAATTGTTCTTGTACCACTGCCAGGCGGAGGCTTATGCCACACACAGTGATAAGAGAATGAATAAATCAAGGATGAATGTATGCCAGCAGTCTCTTCTCAAGTGATCCAGGGAACTGTGACTTGAAATTGTGAAGACCCCCCCCCACCAAAAAAAAAGTGACTAATATTTTCAAAATGATAGGGACAAGAAGCCAAGTAAGGGGTAAAAAGGTCATAAATTCCAGTGTGTACTAGGTAGTTACTTTAGTATTAAAAAAATTCCTAGAACCCTAAGATGGGTAACACAAAAAGGGGCACATATTGCCCCATTATTCTGTATTCTTAGGTACTAGATTCTTAGATGAAAACTTGTCCTTTTAGGAAAGATAAAATGGAAGGGCCCACACCAATGTGTGCAAGTAATTTGTCGCAGAGATGTTCTTACAACAGATGTTGAAACTAAATCTCTCCTTGTGCTAAAACTGTTCCGAGCCAAGAAGGCTTGAGTCCTCACCGGCTTGTAAGCCACTCTGAAGAGCCATAATCTTCTGCTGTTGCTGTTCAATCAGGTTGCTGAGTGCTTTCACATGCTTCAAGGTAAGCTCAAGAACCACAGCCTTCTCCAAGTGACCCAACGTCTGGAAAAAAACAAAAAGCAAATGGTGTGAGCCCACTACTGTGCAGACAGCTTAGCAATGCAAATGACTCCGGGATGGGAGGGGCCGAAAGACTGTCCTTTCCCTTCCCATGTTCCTTTTGGTTAGGTTGGCATTTCTGAATGTTTCTTCAGAAATGTACAGCCATAACTAAAAGATAAAAAAGGAGGTGACAGCTATGCTTGGAGGTATTTTGGGAGCAGTGACATGCCTCAAGAGAAAGCATTTGACAGATATGTTTCTTCAGCCCCGGCTGGTACCCTGACCTTAACTCAGGGGAATCCAGAGATAACGTTTCTCTGCAGTGGTGTCAAACCAGGGAGGGAGTTCTAACAGAAGGCAAGCCAAAACGGCTTTCCCCAGGAGATTTCCTTCCCTTTAAAAAACTTCCTGGTTTAAAACAAAACAAAACAAAACAAAAAAACAACCAAAAACCCAATACTGGTTCCTTCCCTTCTCTCCCTGCCTCCCGAAATGCTGTAAAACCTTGGAGTGCTACAGGCTTCAGTTCCAAACCGACAAAAGAATCTAAATCATGGGAAATTCATAGAAAATACTGAAGAAGGCATCTCTCCCACCTTGTGGGTGCCTTAGGGTAAATTGGGGAGCAATGGATCAGCAAGTAAAGTCAGGGAACTCTGGAAAACACCAAATTTCTAATAACCCTAGAGGAAAAAAAGCCTCAATCTGCTGTAAAAGCCTTTCACAAAGCCCAGTGTGGAGTCTCCTTCATTTCCACCCTTTCGGAGGCGCCCTTTACCAATCCCTCGCCTCTATTGGAAGGGGACGCTACCATACCAGGTAGGATGCGGACTGAGGGGACCAAGGGCCGACAACCTGCTCCAGGGGGCCGCTTCGGAGCTGCAGTACCGAGCGGTACCTGAAGACGGCGGGGAAACCTGCGCACCAGCCGCCCGCCCTCCCTCCTCGGCGAGCAGAGTTTGGAGAGAGTCCAGGTTTTCACTTACAGTAAGTTTGAGATGTTCGGGTAAGAGGTCTTTCAGTTGGGCGATGCACTCATTAATCCGATCACGTCTTTTCTTCTCGATCAGTCGGTGCGGCAATTTATAGGTCTCCTGAAAGGCAAAGGAGGCGGTGGGCGACCTGGGCGAGAGGACAGCCAGGGGATTCCCAAGAACGAAGTCTTGCTCTAAGAGCACCTGGGAACTGGCGGGGAGACCCAGTAGAACCCCGGAAATATGGTCCTGGGCTAACCCGGTCCTGAATCCCCTTGCTGTCTGCTCTTCCCTCTTCCTCCTACCTCAGCCGGGACAACACTTTTCATTGAAACTCTTAACGGTGGCTCACGGGGAGGATTCTGAGAGGGGCGCGTGGTGGGGGAGGGGGGATGGTGGCGGCGGAAGGGATGTTCTTACCTTGTTATCCTCGCTCCTCTTTAATCCCCTTCTCGGTTTGTACACTTGGTACATGTGGGCAAAATCCATCCTGGAAGGAAAGCAAACAGAATGCAGAATGAACAAGGGAAAGAGGGGGAAACCCAGGCATCGTTCATTCCCTTGGGCAACAGCTCAGGATGCGCCGGAGCTAAGCCACAGTGGAGAGGACGGAGAGGAGGTCAAGTCTGGGGCGACTTAGGGTAAGGGGCATTGAACTGACTTAAAGAGCATCTGGGGAAGAGGCTGCCTGGGGACACTGGGATCCCCGGGCCATCCCGTCTGGTCCACACCCCGCACTCCCCGGAGGAGCGCGGCTTGCAACGGGGCGCCGTGCCTCCGAACTTCCTTACCCTGCCATGTCGCTGGGGTCCAGTCCCGGCACTTTGCCTATGGAGGCGGGGGGCGGCTGGGCGCTGGTGATCCTTTCCATGGCAGGGCGATGGCGCGGAAAACTTAATGCCCTGCTTGTCTGGGACTCGTAGATCGGGCGGCCGTGGGATCTGCCCCCCTCACTTGAGTCGCAGAAGCCCCTAAGAAGTCTCTTTATTTCTTTCCCCCGGCTGCTGGAAGTCCCCTGCGCTTAACCCGATGGAGCCCTAGACGGGAGGATGCGCCGGGTTGCGGCTGGAGGTGGGAAGGGAGGGATGCTCGCGACTCAGCTCGCAGCGTGCAGGAGTCCCCTCTTTGCCTCTGCCTCTCGGGTCTGTCTGCCCGCACAGACTGTCTTTCTGTTCTCCCAGCGACGTCTGGACCGTGCAAGCCAAGTGAATGAGCTGGTGGGGAGGGAGGGACAGAGGGAGGGAAGGAGAAGTTGGGGGGAGGGGGGAGGCTGGTTGGTGGTGGAGGGGAGGGGAGGGGGGACTCAGCAGAGGAGTAATTGGGAGGCTTCAGGCTGGGTTAAATGTGAGCGAGTGGGTGGATTGGAGCTACGTGTTCCACCCTGTGACTCCAGGCACGTCTGGTTGCTGCCGGGGAGGGAAGGAGCGACCTGCCCCCGCCCCCCGCTCCCCTCCCCCTGCACCTCCCTCCCCGCCACCTTCCCCTCCTCTCCATCACATGAGGCTCACGTGTTGGACAACGCTTGGGCTGCTGAAAGGGAGCCCTCCCCCGACACACACACACATCCTTCTTTCCTCGCCCCCAGGCTGATCGCGCCCCCCCAACACCCCCCCCCGCGTCCTGGTGTCTGCGGCGGCTGCTTTTCCCGGGGGGGTCCGGGTCCCAGCCCCCCGGGAGAGGGGGCGTCCTAGCAGGCAGGAGGAGGGAGGGGGTTGTTCTGGCATTGGCCCTGTGGGCGAACCTGCCCTAGGGAAATGAATAAGTTCCAGTCTCGGGGGGGGGGTGCGGGGAATGGCCAGATCCGCCCGCCTGTGTCTGACTCAAGCTGGGAGAGGAATATCCCCTTTCTCCTAGCCAGCCCGCTTCCTCCCCCGCCCCTGCTCTCACCCCCCAGCCCCCTCTTGGAGGAACCGGGCCGGGAGGGGGGGGAGTGCCACCCAGCCTCCCAGCCCCAGGGGCTTTAGTTTCTTTCCGTCCTGTCTTCCCCCACCCCGAGTCCAGGAATTGCCCGGCGTGGGGAGGGGCCGAGGGGAGGGGCGGATGTCACCCCACTGGAACAGCTCAGCCGGGACTCACATCACGGAACGGGCAGCGCTCCAGCCTCAAGGGCAGCCGAGGCCGCAGCCGCCGAGCACGCCGGCTGCACCTGATGGCCGAGTGCGTCCCTCTCCGCCACTGCGCCCGGAGCCCGGGGGCGCGCCCCAAGCGCCGCCGGGCAGCGTGCCCCCAGCCGCATTGCCCCCTCGTCCTACGTTCATGCCCGGCTGCCCGCGCTGGGCTGCGGGTGGACTGGGGGAGGAGGGGAGTCCGCTTGCCGGCCCGCTCGCCAGCCTGCCATCCCCCATTCCGTGCAGCCGAAGTTACACAACCGCGGCTGCTCCCAGCAGGAGCGAGGGGCGTGAACCTTCACGTGGCCGGCTGGGAAAGCCAGCTAGCCCCCCCCCCCCCCCCCCCATCCTCCCGGGACGGGAGCCTCTCCGCAGCTTCCTGGTGGCCAGTCCAGGGCTCTGGGCCGAGTCCCCGGCAGATCCCGACGGTGACTTGGCAGGGGCACTCTGTTCCTGCCAAGTTCCCTTGGGCTGCCATGCACCTCGGCTGGCCCTCACCTGGCACGAGGCCCTCCCGGTGCTAGGACACCGGAGCCAGGAAAGAAAAATAAAAGGGCCGATATCCAGGGTCGCTAGACCCAAGCCATTGAGGAACAAGAACACCGAGTCCGGTCTATGTATGCCATGAGAATGGGGCGGACGGTCCCCCGCCTGACCTGCTACCTATAGCAGGCCCCCAGGACTGTCCTGGGGAAGATTCCTGGCTGGCTGCCCCCAAAAGGCAAGAGAGAGGAAAGCTGCACGGGGTTTGCCTAAGTCCTAAAAGGGAGAAAAAGCAACAGCAATGTGGGCTCTGACTTGCAGTTTGGAGGGATTCCTGGGGCTTTGGCTTTGGAGGGGCTTAGCCCTTTTGCTCTAAATGGCCCTTCCCCCATGCTGGGGCAGACAAAGTCTTTAATGTCCTCATCCCTACCTCAAAGGATTTAGTTTGTGGAAAAGTCCAAAATTTCCATACCTTTTGCTCAGATGAGAGGAAACCCAAATCAAGTTTATTCCTTCTTAGCAGCTCTGATTAAAAGAAAAAAAGTGTGTTGGGAGGGAAGGTGGAGGCTAGTGAAGAAACGGAATTTGGGAGATTTCAGGGACCTGTGGCCCGATTGGATAGGTGGTTGAAAGATGACTGTACATTTCTTTATTGATCCTTAGGTCAAACCCATAGGTGCAGGGTAGCCAGATTTAGGAGGGGACCTGTCTGACTGAGGATGATCTTAGGTGTCGCTTAGGTCCCTTCCAGTTCTAAATCTTATAATCCTATAAAAAGCTTGGAAAGCAAGGAAAATGAGGTCAGTGCTTGTGATACATAGACCTTCTCCGTTTGGGTTCAGTCCTAAGGCTAGCCCTAGTTCTATAGGTACCAAAGAAGTTTGGAGCACAGGCTTGGCCTTACTTTGGGAAGAACAGCTGGCATAGTAATTAGAAGACTGGACCTAGAGTCAGGGAGAACCGGGGTTCAATCCTGCCCCTTATAATTTAGTGGTAGGACTACATGAGCTTCACCTCTGTTTCCTCATGTGTCAAATGGGGATAATCCGTTTAGTATCTGCCTCACTCGAATGAGATCATGTATGTCAAGGGCTTTGTAAACTTCAAAATGCAGCTGTTCAAATTATTATAATAATTATTGTTTCTGAGGTTTCTCCCAGATATTGCTGTGGTGCCTGGACGTTGCCCTGATAGCCTGAGGATTGGATGCACACATTGACGACATAAGAGGGAATGAATTTCCTTCACTTTGCTTTGGAGAACTCCAACTTCCTGTTTATGTTTCGCAAGTGTCAAATTCATTAGCAAGTGTGAGAAATGCCTGGTTTAAAAAAAAAAAGTTTGTTCTCTGGTTTGTTGTCTCAGTTTGGGAAGGATAGTTATTCCTCCTAGAACAAGGTAGCCTCCTCCGTGACTCAGTTGCTTTCTCAAGTGAATTATTCTAGAGCTTCCTTCCTGAAGGAAAAACCTGTTGCCCTGATTGTGTTAATCTTCTTAAATATGCTTAGTTCCTGTGGAAGAGTTCAATAAGGAGTAGAAGAATTGTCATTTTGTTACAATTCTGGGATTCGTCTACCCCAGTATTCTGTCTTCAAGAGATAGTTTGAAGGGTTGTAGGGGAAGAAGGGTTAGGGTGTAGGATTATCTTCCTTTACAATTTTGTAGTAATTATCAACAGGAATTTATTAAAGGACTGCTATATGCCAGATGCTGTGCTAAATTCTGGGCGTACAAAGACAGAAAGGATCCTGTGCCCACAGAGAGCTTACCTTCTGTTGATATGAGGCACATTTAATAAGTAAATAAGTGACTTAGACATGTATTGCCTCTAACAATGCAAAAATAAAGCCAGATTTTCACCTTCCCTCAATAATATTTCCTGCTGGCTTTATCATTCCTAAAACTAGGCTCGCCTGTTGAGACAGTGTGGTGCCACATGATGGCAGCCACTGATGGAAAGACTTAATGTATAAATCCCTATTTCTGACACTCTGGGTGACCATGAGCAAATTAATACACTTCTCTGAGCCTTAGTTTCATCATTAGTAAAATAATAATAACACCCATTGTATTGTGAAGCTAAGAAAAATCACATGTACAAAGTACTGCAAACTTTCAAGCATTATACAAATGTCAGTTATTATTTTTCATATGTTCAGCCTTAACACCTTTGGGGTCAATGAGTTCCATACATTTACTACCTCATATACACAATGCTGCTGCTTTTTATTTGTTGCAACCTTTAAGGATTGTCCTCTAGTTCCACTATAGCAGGATTTGATGAAAAAGTCCATGCTAACCTTGTCTGTATCCTAGTATGATTTTATCCATTTTAATCAGAGCTGTAACTAATAATTTTGACTCCAAGGGCAAGCACAGTAAAATGTGCCCAACTCAGCAGTTGAGGTGGGGAGGGGGGGAATTGAAGAGGCAGAGCAGCAATACCTGTGGGAAGACCTTGGACTCTGGGAAACTACTCCATTCGGGAGAAATAGAGACCCTAGGACACTAAGAAATGATCCTTGCTAGGTGCTAAGCTCAAATGTTCCTACAATGCAATCAAATCTAGTTCTTATTAGAATAGAGGGGAGGAAGTCCAGAAAATTACTGCAGTAAAGTGAGTATGTTGGATGCAAAAAATCAAATATAGCTCTAAAGAAAGGTAACTTGATGAGGGGCAACTCCAAATCTATCAGACATCTTAGGTTGTCTTTGTCAGTGGTTTAAATTTTTCTTGAGAAGGGCAATTGCTTCTCTGTGATAGGAGAGTTAGGGGGTTCTAATGGACTTTGGCTTGATCACACCCCATCTGGAGAAGGGAGAATGTTGATATCTTTAAGAACATCCAGAAGAAAAAAATGTGAATGGTGAAAGGTTTCAAGTCCATGCTATGTGAGGCTTGGTTGAAGGAGCTAGGAATGTTGAACCTGGAGAAAAGTTGCCCATCCCAGCTTAAGGCCTATGATCTTATTATTTTAAGACTGAAGGGTGAAAGAGGGGGTGCGGAGGGGACATGAAAGCTGTCTTCAAGTATTTGAAGGGGTATCTTATGGAAGAGGGATAAATTTGTTCTGAAGGTAATACAGGGTTGGGATTTGTTAAGACATGAGTCTCCACAGGAGAAGGGGCAAAGGATTTCATCAGCCTGGTGATGGGTTTTTCTGGAAAATGGTTTGAATTAATCAAGTCTGGATTCATTTTTACTTGTAGAATGGAAGACTTTCACATCTTTACATACTGAAATCCATCCCTTCCTTTGAGGCCCACCCTAGTTGGAGGCACATGTTGTCACCCTGTTCTGTGAGACGCCGTCCTTGTAACCCCTCAACTAGGGGAGACTTCTGTGTACCAAGCACATAGTAAGTGCTTAATAAATGCTTGTTTTCCTCTTTGCTTCCTCCCTGATTTCTCATTTTTAAAAAATAATTTATTTTTATTTTTCAATATTTACTTCCATAAAATTTTGAGTTTTAAATTTTCTCACCCTCCCTCTCATCCCTGCTCCGAAAGACAGTGTGCAATCTGATGTAGGCTCTACTTATACATTCGTGTTAAGCATATTTTCATATTAGTCATGATGTAAAGAAGAATTAGAACTAAT